GAAACTACTAGCGGAATCACCCAAGTGACTGTGTTGTATAATAAGTCATCCAGTAATGGCAACAGCACATTTTTTATACGTCCAGATTCCCCTGAAACATTAGACAAGATGACAAAAATACCGGAAAGAATGTGTTAATAATCGCATCGTACACATCCTGTTCAGATTCATAATTTTCGTTTACAATTGATGCAGTCGCGAGCGGAATGAATGAAAACAAAGTCAAGATTACTTTCTTGCTTTGGTTGAATAGAGATCCTTTGTTCATATCGAATAATAGGATAAAGTTTCACTCAGACTTATTTTATAGACGGTGTATTTTCAATCAATAAGTATTAATTAGTATATATTAATATATTAATAACTCTGAAAATCAGAGAATCATTTTCTTTTTTGGAATTATTTATGTAACTACTATGCAGTAAAGCAAACTTTATTTTGATAAAAAAGGCTATATAATAATCATTGTTCGCTTTGTTTTTGTATACTGAAAATAAAAGAGAAAATAAAAAAATTTTCCTGGAAATTACAGAAATGGTCTTTAATTATTTTTAAGTGCCTAATGAGGCAAACGGATAGAAAAATTTACATTGACCAAAAATAGAATTTATTTATTTTTTAGACAGGTAGAAGAAATGTCGTCAATTCTGAAGACAAACTTTCCAATAAAATAGTAATTAAATTGTTCCTTACAAATGCGCAAAGTCCAATCTAATTTTGAATTATATTACCTTCATCAAATGGACAAGACTGATTATTTTATTTTTATAATTTAAACCCAACTAATATTAATTGATCGATAAAATATGAAATTAATGAATTAATGAATAATTTGATTTGATTTAATTCAAGGTTGTGTGACGAAATGTTTCCTTTAACTGATGTGATTCTGAAAACACAACAGCTTCCTTCCACCGCCTATATGACCTACTTGAAGAGATTTTTAGTCATTCATTATTTGAGTTTGGAACTCAATGATGCTTGACTCAATGGGGGCAAACAGTAAAAGTTTATCTTCAAAAAAAAAAAAGACAAAGCAATTATCCTAACAATTAAAAGAAAACATCATAGCTTTATTATTATGTGACCTTATAAATTGCACTGTAATTGTGTATGTGTAGATTCTAAATAATGTACCAAATAATAATAACATACAATTGGGATCTGATAACGTACGCATAGGTAGCTAGCTAGTCTTTCAAATTCTGGCTGGAGATTATAAAACGGACATTTAGTAGTAATAATAATAATAAATTCAATAGAGGAAAATTCTGTGCAAAGTTTTTAAAAGTCTGACATTTAAAAAGGATTTAGCATTGTTGAAACTGGCAGGAGGAGTTTTCAAGAAAATGTTTAATTAAAGCCAAATTTATCCAAGAACCTGCTTTAGGTGAAGACTGTGTGTGGTCATTTTTGAATTTTTCCTCGTTATTTAATTTAAAAAAAAATGACATTCTTCAATTTATTGAAAGTTGAAAATTTGTTCACTCCTACACAACTATTTAATAGTTGATAAAACATTCGTTAGTATGATTTGTTCATAGATCTTGTCCTTAATGCTTACTTCGATATTGAATAATTGATAAAACATGTGTTAGTATGTTTTGTTCATAGATCTTGTCCTTGATGCTTACTTCGATCACTCCTATACAACTATTGAATAGTTGATAAAACGTTTGTTAGTATGTTTTGTTCATAGATCTTGTCCTTATTGCTTATTTCAACCACTCCTATACAACTATTGAATAATTGATAAAACGTTTGTTAGTATGTTTTGTTCATAAATCTTGTCCTTAACGCTTACTTCGATCACTCCTATACAAACTATTGAATAATTGATAAAACGTTCGTTAGTATGTTTTGTTCATAGATCTTGTCCTTAATGCTTACTTCGATCGCTCCTACACAAATTATTGAATAGTTGATAAAACGTTTGTTAGTATGTTTTGTTCATAGATCTTGTCCTTAATGCTTATTTCAACCACTCCTATACAACTATTGAATAATTGATAAAACGTTTATTAGTATGTTTTGTCCTTAACACTTACTTCGAATACTCCTATACAAACTATTGAATAGTTGATAAAACATTTGTTAGTATGTTTTGTTCATAGATCTTGTCCTTAATGCTTACTTCAATCGCTCCTGTACAACTATTGAATAGTTGATAAAACATTTGTTAGTATATTTTGTTCATAGATCTTGTCCTTAATGCTTACTTCGATCACTCCTATACAACTATTGAATAATTGATAAAATGTTTGTTAGTATGTTTTGTTCATAGATCTTGTCCTTAATGCTTACTTCGATCACTCTATAGTATGTTTTGTTCATAGATCTTGTCCTTAATGCTTACTTCGATTACACCTACACAAACTATTGAATAATTGATAAAACGTTTGTTAGTATGTTTTCTTCATAGATCTTGTCCTTAATGCTTACTTCAATCACTCCTATACAACTATTGAATAGTTGATAAACGTTCATTAGTATGTTTTGTTCATAGATCTTGTCCTTAACACTTACTTTGATCACTCCTATACAACTATTGAATAATTGATAAAATGTTTGTTAGTATGTTTTGTTCATAAATCTTGTCCTTAATGCTTACTTCGATCACTCTATACAAACTATTGAATAATTGATAAAATGTTTGTTAGTATTGTCACCGGGATGCGAATTGGACCTTAATTCGCTGATCAATAACCCCGAAAATCCGGAGTAACAATTTATATATTATTTTTATATTATTTATATTATTTATTTTATTTATTTATTATTTTTAGTATTCATTATTTATTTTTAGTTATTTATTTTATCTACTACTATTATTTATTTTTAATTTAATTATATGAGTTTGTGTTACATTCTGCAGAAGTAATTAATTAGTAACACGTTCGCATTGGACCTTTATTTAGTAGAAATTAATGAAGATTATCCTGAATCAGGATATATATCTTAAATTAGGAGAATTATCCTGTGTACAAAGAAGGATAATTATCCTAGAAAGAGAGAATTATCCTAACTTGGGAGAATTAT